TTGAGCACCAGTGCTTTCCTGCACAGGAAGAGGCCCCGGAACAGTCCGGTTCACCTCCACAGCCACTCAACCACCCTGCTCTCCAAATCCTGCCTGTTGTCCGATGGAGAGGGATGGGTGGAGGAAAGGTGAATGCTCAGAGAGAGTAGCAGACCCGTGCTCTACTGGATGGCCTGAAGCGCGGGTGGGAGGGAGCTCGCCTGCCACCTGTCCCTGACCACCAGGTCAGAGCTCTTAACTCAGTTGACCCGGGAGGAGGAGGCTGGTAAGTAGATAGCCTGGCAGGTCTCCACCCGCGCCAGGGCCCCTGGGTCCTGCACCACGAGAAGCACGTCAGTGGCATATGCTGACAGGACCACCCACAGCTCCAGCTCCCGGAGCACCAACCTCATCATCCTCCGGAGGAGGAGGAGATGGAGGAAGGGCTCAATGGCCAGAGAGTGCAACTGGCCTGACAGCTGCCCGGTTCGGTCAGGGACCAGTTGAGCCTGACCACACACTCCATGGAGGCACACAGCACCTGGAGGAAACCCACAAACAGTGGCTCAAACTCGAATGCCTGCAGAGTGCCCAGGAGATACCCATAGTCCACCCTGTCGAACGCCTTCTCCTGCTCAGGGACAGGAGGGCAAAGGACAGACTGTCCCTACACATGAGCTCAAGGAGGTCCCCAAGCCCATCATTGTGGATCCCAGTCACCAGGGCTGTCCTGGGGGGGGGAGAAGGGGCCCAGGACAACCCCCCCTGCACTCCCGGCCCCACCCCCACTCCACTCCTTCTCCCAAGTCCCCGCCCGGCCTCTTCCCACCCCTGCTCTTTGCCGCCCCGCCCCCACTCCACCCCTTCCCTGAAGTCTCTACCCTGCTTCTTTCCAGCTTCCATCCCTTCCTCTGAGTGACACCAGGAACCAGCAGAGTGGGGTGGGCTGGGGCCAGTTCTCTCACTGCTACCAGCACCAGGGCCCCTACTAGCCCCCCAGGCCACCCTGGACCCCACATCTGTAGTGGAAAAATCCTATTTCAGTTGAGGTATGAGTTAGTTAGAATGAAGGATAATAAATAATCTAGTATGTATTAAATGTATTGATGTATTCTGTAATTATAATTTGAAGTACCCTGCCAGCCATTCTTTCTAAAAGCAGGAAGGAATGGCCTAGTGTGCCCTTGGTAAAGATGCATCAGCCAGAATCTTGTGTCCAAAGCTGATTTCAAGGCAGGAATAGATCCTTATGGTCACCACTTTGTTATAGGTTTAAAGTTAGCATTGTGAAATAAGTAGAAGAGTGTGATGATTAAGAACATAAGAATGGCCTTACTGGGTCAGACCAAAGGTCCACCTAGCCCAGTATCCTGTCTACCGACAGTGGCCAATGCCAGGAGCCCCAGAGGGAGTGAACTTAAGAGGTAATGATCAAGTGATCTCTCTCCTGCCATCCATCTCCACCCTCTGACAAACAGAGGCTAGGGACACCATTCCTTACCCATTCTGGCTAATAGCCATTAATGGACTTAACCACCATGAATTTATCCAGTTCTCTTTTAAACCCTGTTATAGTCCTAGCCTTCACAACCTCCTCAGGCAAGGAGTTCCACAGGTTGACTGTGCGCTGTGTGAAGAAGAACTTCCTTTTTATTTGTTTTAAACCTGCTGCCCATTAATTTCATTTGGTGGCCCCTAGTTCTTATATTATGGGAACAAGTAAATAACTTTTCCTTATTCACTTTCTCCACACCACTCATGATTTTATTTACCTCTATCATATCCCCCCTTAGTCTCCTCTTTTCCAATCTGAAAAGTCCTAGCCTCTTTAATCTCTCCTCATAGGGGACCCGTTCCAAACCCCTAATCATTTTAGTTGCCCTTTTCTGAACTTTTTCTAATGCCAATATATCTTTTTTGAGATGAGGAGACCACATCTGTACTCAGTATTCAAGATATGGGCATACCATGGATTTATATAAGGTCAATAAGATATTCTCCATCTTATTCTCTATCCCTTTTTTAATGATTCCTAACATCCTGTTTGCTTTTTTGACTGTCACTGCGCACTGCGTGGACATCTTCAGAGAACTATCCACGATGACTCCAAGATCTTTTCCCTGAATAGTTGTAGCTAAATTAGCCCCCATCATATTGTATGTACAGTTGGGGTTATTTTTTCCAATGTGCATTACTTTACATGTATCCACATTACATTTCATTTGGTTTCTTTAAATTGTAACTTGATGTTCCTGCTTAAATGTTCCTACTGTTTCTGTGTAAATCAATCCTGTTTTATGTGTGAATGAGGGATGTGTGTGTTAGAAGATAAGAGTGAAGGCCATCACTGGACCAGATGTTCTAAGGAGGAACCGAAGACAGATGCAAGGGCACCAGGAGATTGCTGTATACCCCGAATAATGTTTTGAGGAGGAGGGCAGATTGACAACTCTAAAAGATGAGGCAAGCACCTATCAATCAGGACAAGATAGCTGTAACCAAAACCAGTATGGGGTAACTCCCTGAGGAATGGATGAAAGGACGAGAAGAACAACTTAAGAAAACAAGCACTGGAAAAGCACTCATCAAACGGCTATTGATTACGGCATGACAGTGTGAAACTCACTGACCCCAATGAAGGAAAATTACTATAAAGCAGGGTGCTTTGCCATGGGACTTTGGGTTCGCCTTGACACAACTTCAGAGCATTGGATTGCGACCAACAGGACCCTGCTCCCCCACTCCTGACCAATCTAACTGGCTGTTAGATTAGTCCAAGCTACAGATTGGTAACTATAACATCGACTGGTGGGACAGGGCGTGTGTGTCTGTGTGTTTATGTGAGCATATGCTAGATGATTTACTATTCTATTCTTCATAAACGCAGCGTACTGCCTTAGCCACTCAAAAAGATCCTGTGTGCTTCTTATAAGCATAACACATCCCCCTGAAGTGCTTCGCCCCCCAAAGCACTGGGCCTGGGGCGGTTGCAAATCACAGCCAAATGGCCTTCGCTATGACTATGTAGGTTATGCTGAGGAGTGAGACAGGACACCAATTCCAAAGGCTGTGGTGCAGAGGTCCCGCTCAAAGGTTTGGGGGAGGGGGACACAGGAGGGGGTGGCTGTGGTGTCCGAGCTGCGCCTCCTGGTCAGCAGGTTACTGGTCGCTGGGGTATCCATTCTCCAGGCCATTGGCCGGGGTCCCAAGTTTCGTCGCTGGTCCATGTGAAAACAACCTCCCTCTCCCATTAACTCGTTAAACCAGTAACACAGAGGGAAAGTGAATCCCACCCCCTCTGCATGCAAATCATTGAAAAACCCAGAAAATCCCCCACTTCCTCACACCAGGCTTCGGGGTGCCTGCAACTGGATTCTCATTAGTTAAGGTTCTGTCTGTTTCTCTTATTTCAGCAAGGGTCAGAGACCAAACAGCCCCTCTCTGGTGAGAGACCCCATCGCACCAGCCATGCCCAGATCTGGTGCTTCATCCCTCTCCTCCTCCTCCTTCTCTTCCTCCGTCTCCTGGGGGGTCTCCCCCTAGTGCTACACCAGCAAGGCTGAGGTGAGCATTGAGAACGTGGCATCTCTGCCTGGCGGGGAAGACCATCAATTTGACCATGCTGGGTGGACACCAGCCTGTGGCGCGGCCTAAACAGTCCCTCCAGCCTGTGCCAGAACCTCTCAGTGGCCATGGTGGACTGGACGTCCACAGCCTGTTCAATAGGACCTCAGGAACTCAGGGGAAGAGTCAGCCATGGACGTAGCCCAGGCAATGGGGTCGGATGTGAACAATGGCTGGAAGTTGGAGCTGGAGCTGTCGGATGAGTCCCCATTCCCGGCCCTGGGCGTTCCCGATCCTGGCTCACCAGCTACGCCTACCTGAAGGAGCGCAGGCCAAGTTCATATTCGTGCATCACGAGGTGGCCTGTGTGTATGACAGGTGAGAATCCCCTGCTGGGCCCCTGCAGCACAGCATCCTCTTCCGAGCCCCCCGCCCTTCTCTCTGGAGAACAGCACCCCCTAGTGCTGCTCTAGGGCAATGGGGCCAGGACTGACCACAAGGAGAGAGTGCCCACCACAGAGCCCCTGCTCCAGGGAAGCCAGGGGAGGTCTCTGTTTGACTCCTAATTCCCCTCTCTCTTTTCCCTCTGGGAAGGTTAAGGGACCCCAAAGCCCCCCACTGCCACCCCACTTCTCCCAGGCCCTGCATCTCCTGCCACCCAGCTACCACCCATCCGCCTATCAGCTCTTCCTGGCTACCTAGGGCACCCACTAAATAACGCAGGCTGCACTAGGGGGTGGGGACTTTGGGGGAAGGCGGAGAGCAGAGAGGGGCATGTGTGCGGGCCTCAGGGAGGGGGCGGAATAGGGGCGGGAAGAGGCAACATGAGGGCCTGGATCTGGGGAGAGGGTCACAGGAGGGGGCGGCTGCTGTCACTTCACCGCAGGGGGGTGGCAGTCCTGGTGGTGATTGTAGTGTCCCTGCCCCGCCTCCTCACCCAGTGCTTGGACCCCACATGGCCCAGGAAACCATGACAGCCAGGGATTGCAGAACTCTGTGCCGGCCTGGGTGGGCAGCGGGCTTCTCCCAGCGATGGGATTGGTGGGGCAGGCAGGGGAGTGGACTGAGGCGAGAGAGGATGGGTGGGGACTCCATCCCCAGGAACGGTGCAGATCAGGGGTCTGCCCAGCCACTGGGAGGGCAGGGGGCTCAGGTGGGAGAGCTGTGAGGTCAGGGTGTGCCTTTATCCAGACTGGAAGAGGGAGGAGAGGGGGCCTCAGGAGAGGGGGTGAGGTGGGGGTGGGGCCTCAGGGAAGGGGGAGGAGCACCCCTGGAGAAAACAAGAAGTCAGCACCTGTGACTGTATTTATATGGCACACGGCAAACCCAAGTGACCAGAGGGGTCTTTAGGAGCTGGGAATCACGCTAGCTTTTGGCACAGACAAGGTAAGTGCCGTTTAGTTATTGCAAAACTTTTGAAATGTAGGTGAGAAATCCCGGGTGAAATCCTGAGTCCTTGCAGGGGAGAGGGGGGAGATCCTCCTCCAGGATCTGACCCCACTTCCCGAGCTGGTGCCCCGGTGCCCAGGCAGAGGGGCTGAGGAGGGTAAAGGAACTGCAGCGCTGACTCAGCTGCCCCACGGTGTCTCACTGTGTGGAAGCCCCTCAGCCCCCCTCTAAACCGTGATACCCTCCTTGACCCCCAGTCTACTCCAAGTGCCCCTCCCATATTTCTTCCCCCCACTCCCTCTTGCCCCCCAGCTCCCCTCACTCTGCCCAATGAATAATTCCTTCCTGACCCGCAGATCCCAGCACATGCCTGGGGGCACGGAGAGGGTGTGGACACTGTTACCACTCAAGAAAGAGATCTTGGAGTCAATGTGGATAGTTCTCTGAAAACATCCACTCAATGTGCAGCGGCAGTCAAAAAAGCGAACAGCATGTTGGGAATAATTAAGAAAGGGATAGATAATAGGACAGAAAAAATCATATTGCCTCTGTATAAATCCATGATATTCCCACATCTTGAATACTGCTTCCAGATGTGGTCGTCCCATCTCAAAAAAGATTGGAAAAGTTTCAGAAAAGGGTAACAAAAACTATTAGCGGTATGGAACGGCTTCCGTATGAGGAGAGATTAATAAGACTGGGACTTTTCAGCTTGGAAAAGAGATGACTAAGGGGAGATGGGATTGAGGTCTATAAAGTCATGACAGCTGTGGAGAAAGTAGATAAGAAAGTGTTGTTTACTACTTCTCATAACACAAGAACTAGGGGTCACCAAATGAAATTAATGGGCAGCAGGTTTAAAAGAAATAAAAGGAAGTACTGTATTTCTTCACACAACACACAGTCAACCTGTGGAATTCATTGCCAGAGGATATTGTGAAGGCCAAGACTATAACGGGGTTCAAAAAAGAACTAGATAAATTCATGGAGGATAGGTCCATCAATGGTTATTAGCCAGAATGGGCAGGTATGGTGTCCCTAGACTGTCTTTGCCAAAAGCTGGGAATAACCGATAGGGGATGGATCAATTGATGATTACCTATTCTGTTCATTCCCTCTGGGGCACCTAGCATTGGCCATTGTCAGCAGACAGGATACTGGGCTAGATGGACCTTTGGTCTGACCCAGTATGGTTGTTCTTATGTTCTTATGGACACACAGTGTGGGGGACTAAGAGGGCCTTGTTTCCCTCTCCAGAATCCTGGCACACAAATAGGGCGGCAGAGATGGGGACTCAGGACACCCCCAGATCCTGGATCAAACATAGATAGGGGGCTCAGGTTGCCCACAGATTTTGGCATGGCCAGAGTGGGCGAGGGAGGGGCTCAGACGCACCCCGTGCCTAAACCCTGCCACTCGCCCTGACCCCTTGTCTCTCTTCCCGGTGTCCCGCCCCTCCCCACACCCTGTCCTGAGAGCAGAGGGGGACAGCAGGCAACACACATCCCCTGAGGCGACCCAGCACCCACACACACTGGCTCCCCAGCAAGTTCTCGGCTTTCAGTAGAACCCAAGAGTCCTGGCTCCCATCCCCGTGACTGAGATCTCGGGGGCGGGGGCACCCTGAGATTGCTCAATCAGGGCAAACTGAGAAGAATGGGGCAGACAATCCCCAAAACTGGTGGTTATTCTAATACTTAGATTCACCCAGCCAGCAACAAAACAGTTTCTCCAATAACTGACTGCTTACTCAGAAGCCAAAACAGTTCCCTTAAAGAAACCAGTTTTGGGCTGCAGTCCAGACAGCCAAGTGAAATATGATAAGGATTACTGAAAATCTTGCTCATCATATAAAAATACTGGACACATTCCCCACCAGGTCAGTGAATATTTCAGCTCTTACCCAAATGCACACTTACAGCCAACTCTTGTGAACTAAACTAAACTTTATTGAAAAAGGAAAGAGAGAGGATTGGTTAAAAGATCATTCTCCATCCAGCTATGCCTAGAGTTCTTAGGTCAGTTTCATTGTAAAGATGGTGAGCTTCAGAATTGCAAAGACTCCTTTCCCGAATCAGTTCATCAGGTTATAGTCCCAAGACAGGCCAATGTCCAAAATCAGGGTGATCCAGACTGGAGCTGGAGACCTCAGTCTGGTGACTCAAACTTCCCCCATGAAGCTTAAGCAGATCTGAGATTACAGGATCAGGGCCCAAGAGTTATTTTATAGTTCGTGGCTTTGAAGTAAGACCTTCTCTTTCTAATTAGCTGCTTGGATTAACATAATGCAACTGCCCACCTCCCGCCATTTACAAGTAATTAACTGCATACTTCAAAGAGGAATGAAGACAGTGATGTTACTACATTTACAGTTCATCTAAATGTTACCTTCCCCTTTGGATCTCTGAACTAACAGAATACAGTGACAGACAGGAACCGTTTGGTTACATTGTCAAACTCTAACAGTATATATGTAAACACACAAAAAACACAATCGTTATCTCCTAATATGTCTCTAAAGGTTGACTATGGGCTAGTTAGTTTGTTAGTGTTTAACCCATCCTGGCCCCATGTCCCCCACCCCCCTTCTAACTCCTAGACCCCACTCCTCTCCCAGAGCCAGGGAAAGAACCCAGGAGTCCAACCTCTGAGCTCCCACCACCACCTCCTGCTTTAGCCACTAGATCCTGCTCCACTCCCAGAGCCAGGGAAAGCACCCAGGAGTCCAGAGTCACAACCCCACCCCCTCCCAGAGTTGGGGAGAGAACCCAGGAGTCCTGTTTCCCAGCCTCCCTGCTCTAACCACTAGACCCCACTCCCCTCCCAGAGCTGGGGATAGAACCCAGGAGTCCTAGATCTCTCTATCCCCTCTCTAGCCTGCCCGACCCCACTCCCGATTTATAATTGGATCACTGATATCAGGATCTGGCCCTTCCCCCCAGCCAGCCCCCCCCCCCCCCCCCCCAGCTCTCCCTTCTCCCTCTGATCCTCCTGGATTCGTTATGGGGGGGATTTTGCTGTATGTGGGGGTCCCTCTTTCTCCCTGCCCTGCCTCCCAAATGACGAACCCAGAGAGCTCTGGAGAGCTCAGCTCCCTGCATTCTGATCCAGCTGACATCTGCATCAGGGTGGTCCCTGGAAACTCTGCCGCTCCAGTCCAGCTGCCGTGATCCCCACACGGGAGCCCTGTGCTTTGCTGCAGACAGGTAACCCATGGGGCAGAGGAGCCTGGGGGACGTGCTTTTCTCTCTCTCTCTCTTCCTGCTGGAGGGAATGGGGCTGTGAGTATTTCAGCAAGATCACCCTACTGCCTGCAGCTCACATGGGGGATTCAGTTCCCAGCACAATGAGGGGAGATTCATCTTGGGGGTGAGATGGGGAGAGGGGGTGTGCACAGGTGCATATCTGCACAGCTATCTATTACATGGAATGAGAACTATTCACCCATGTGTCTCATGTCCCCTACTACACACAACTAAACCAACTGCCCCCTAGTGGTCAGAATCAGACCTGCCAGGTTGTACGTGTCCTAGTCCCTGTACTTCTCACACTCAGCAGAAACTCTTATTCAAAATCAGCGGGCAATGGGGTAGGCAGGCTGTAGCATAGGTTGTTGGAGAGCTCTTCTCTCAGATCCAGGGAGGGTCATAGCAGATTGCAGGCTTCTGGGATGCCGCCAGGATCTGTTGTGTCTGTGGAACTGCCTGCCACTAGATTGTTGTTAATGAAGCCTCTCTCTGTTTCTCTCCCTCTAGGGAGGCTGATAGACCAAAAGCCACTTCCAGGTGAGGGGCACCATCACACCAGCCATGGCGAGATCTGGTGTCTTCATCCCTCTGCTTCTCCTCTTCCTTCTCCCTTCAGTCTCCCCCGACTGCTACACGGGCACATCTACGGAGTGCGAGGAGACCATGGCCTTCGTGCCCGCGCACAGCTTGGTGGGGGAGGGCATTGACGTGACCACTCTGGAGTGGACGGGGGCCAATCTGGTGGACACCAGCCTGTGGCACCACCCAAATGGCACCTGCACCATATGCGAGAACCGGCTGCAGGGGCGACAGAAGCAGAGGCTGCCGCTGGCCGTGGTGGACTGGAGGGTCCAAATCTCGTGTAACCGGGACCTCAGCAGCTCAGTGGAAGAGTCAGCCGCGGCTGTGGGCCGGGCACTGGCGTTGGATGTGAACAACGACTGGATGTCAGAGCTGGAGCTGCTAGATGAGTCCCATGGCCCGGCCTTGGGGGGGTCCAAATCCCAGCTCACCAGCTACGCTTACCAGAAGGAGCTGCAGGACAAGTACATGTTCGTGCGCCAAGAGATGCCCTGTGTGTATTACAGGTGAGAATCCCACGTTGTCCCCT